TCTCCCTTCTTCTCTCTCTAAAATCAATAAAGGAGAAAAAAAATTTTTTTTAAATACTAGTGTGTACATAAATTTTCATTTTTTTACTGTACATTTCATCTCCCTTTTGTTAAATTTTCATTTACATTTCATGTCCTTTTTGTTTTTAAAATGTTTATTTATAGATTAAACAGTACATTAGACATGTACTATACATAAGAAAGGTTAAAACATGAAATTATTTGGGGGTCTGGAATGGATGAATTCAATTTACATTATTTCTAGTGGGGAAAAATGATTCGGTCTTTTAATAAATTGCTTCTGAAACAGCCTTCTGGAACAAATTAAGTTCAAGAACCAAGGTTCCACTGTATAAATCTTAGGAACTAATGGAGTAAGTCATCTTATTAATCACTTCATATATGCAGAGTTTTACAAAATTGGGACAGCAATTTAATCATGACCCTAGGAATTTTAATTTTAATCATGACCCTAGGAATTACTCAGATCCTCGGGCACACAGAATAGTTAGTAGCTGATTTCCTCAGACTAACCAAGATCTCCAACCCAAAGTCACTGACTTTGTACCATAAAGTAGTGCGTGTAGAAGTATGAGGTGTGTGTGCGTGCGTATGTGTGTATATGTTGGTCAGGGTGTGGGAGAGGTCATGGCACAGGAAAACAAGCAAGAAGAGCCTAAGAATTTTGTAATCATCATGAAAGAAAGCAAAAGAATTACTTGGGCATAAATTGAGGACTGTTTCTCAGGGATGAGTCAGGAAAGCCACAGCCAAATGAGTTGGATGCTGAGTCTGGATCATGCCTCACTAGAAATACTATGCAAGGGAACTGAGGTCCTGTGAGAATCCATAAAGGTTAGGTTAGGTCAAGGAGAAAGCAGGGCAGTCAGGTTCTTGGTGGTCTATTTCCTAAACTGACCAAAAGTATCATTTAGCTATACACCTAGCATAGCTCCACAACTCTAACACTTACCAGAATGGGTAGATTCCTAGACGAGTGACCATAAAAACAGCACTGAAGATCACAAAAAGGGTGTCACAGAGACGCTGGTACTTGGCATAATTGGCCAGCTTGGCTGCCTGAAGAAAGGAAGAATTGAGATGAGGAGAAAGCACATTTCCAGGAAGAAAAGACGAGAAAGAGAGGAATAACGAGGAAAGAAGGTTTAGGGTCTTACCTCCAGCAGAAAGTCTGAGGCATCATGTAGACACATGACCAGAGTTCCTACCCGAACCATGTTGTTGATATACGAGAAGGTGATGAGCCCAATGGTGGCCAAGTGATGTACAAACATGATTAGAAAGTCCTAGGAAGGAATGGAAATAGAAGAAGCAGGTATAGGCAAGGCCAGAGGGATGCTAGTCAGCTCAATGCCCTGCATTGTTCTCTGAGGATCTTATTCCACCCTTAGAAGTTCCATTTTATTTAAACTTTCCATTACGAAGCTGACTAGCATTTGACCCAAACTCTACATCAGCGACTGACCCATAATCTATGTTCATATAGCTTAAAGCAGATTTAAAGCTCTAATTTCTTCTTGAATTCCAATGCTAAGGTTAGACCTGGTGAAATCTCTAAATACCTGAGTTATCAGACATAGCTAATAAACACTTCTCAGTCCAGTGAGGGACAGAAGGTGAGAGAAGGCAGGTGAATTTGGGTCAGATAAACAGTATAAAAAGTTATGTTCTCCCTCTAGACCAGTGGTTCTCAACCTTCCTAATGCCGTGACCCTTTAATACAGTTCCTCATGTTATGGTGACCCCCAACCATAAAACTATTTTCATTGCTACTTCACAACTGTAATTTTGCTACTGCTATGAATCGCCATCAGAAATATGTTTTCCAATGGTCTTAGGCAAGTTCTGTGAAAGGGTCGTTCGATCCCCAAAGGGGTCGCGACCCACAGGTTAAGAACCACTGCTCTTGACAGATACAGTGGTATATTCCAGTTCTTGAGTTGGGGATGGGTTCAAAAGTATACATTCTAGTATGTTTCAAACCTACATATATACAAACCTTTTTTAATATCTGTGTCATGTATTAAAATAAAATTTATTTTAACATATGATACAAATAAAGGTCCTGTGTCTCCTGACCAAAGGAGAGTGAAAAAACATCTGAATTGAGTATCAAGCTTCTAGGTTATGCAACAGCTGACAACCCAGATTAATTTTAGTCCATTCTCATAAATGCTAACTTTGGTTTTCTCACCAAAGATAACCATAAGTTAGTAACAGATTAGGATTAGAGCTGCTGGAACTACATTATGTCTGGTGGACAATAAGAGGTGAAGATTCTGTCTACTTATAAAAAACTTAAGTCATTTCCAACTTTGTCACTATGTGGACAAGTCAACTTAACTTTTCTGAATCTTTGTTTCCTAAAGAGTAGCATAAAAAAGGGTAAACAAAATAATCTAAAACCCCTTCCAGCTGAAATTGTTTGAGTAAGTGGGGTCAAGAAGGTAAAGCAGAGAGAAAACAAGGGTCCCTAATATCAAGCCAAAGCCAGATTCAGCCTTTATGGTTTCAGGCCTGTCCTGGATCGTGCCTTGCTATCCCTAAGTTCTGACTAGTTTCCTGAACTTTATACATGTAAGAACCTTGGAGAAAAATAAAGAAAAGGGTATGGTTAGCTGGTTAACTGTTCTCAACCTAGTTACCCTGAATGCCTCCAATATACTTCTTCATTAGTCAAGTCTCATTTCTGAGAACATTACAAAGAGCTAATAGTCCCCTCAAACCTACTTTCTCCCCCTTTTGTGGTCCCAGTCAGGACAGAGAATCCATCACAATGGCAATAATGGTAGCTGCTAGGAAGGAGGATGCAATAAGTTAGGAAACTGAGGGAGCCAGTGTCCTTACCTTCCTTTTAATGTCTGTAAACTGAGAAAACATTAGAGACCAATAAAAGGCCAATTCCATGACATAATAGTAATAAAGCCCACTTGTGAGAGGCTGAAAGAGAGAAAGAAGTGGTTAGAATACCAGCTAGTCAAAGAGTCATTCTGGCTCTTCAACATTCTCTGTCTTGGAGGACCAATACCCAAAATTATTAGACATCTTTCCTCCCCAACATCTTCTAAGATCTGCAATAGCTAAAAGGCTTTGGTTTAGTAAGGAGATTTAAACCTCTTCCCTCTGCCCTTTCAAATATGTATCTTCAACTCTCATCTTTTAGAGAGCAGATAAAGTTAAGACATACTACAGCACAATCAAATTAGTATATATACAATTCTGAGAAATTAATGTTTTTTTAAGGGATTAAATACATTCAGGCCTTCCCTTCTTCCACCCTGTTAGCAGCCCCCTGACATTTTTCTAGTACAGATTAAGGGGACTTCAAGTTACTCTTGATTCAAAAGGGACTTGGACCAAAAAGCACCTCATTAAGTGCCAGGAAGCTGCTTTTGTTTCCAGCTCAATTAGGGTGAATATAATGAGGGTACAGAAACAGGATTTCACAGCTATGGGGGCCCCAGAAATAGATAACCTGAATATTTGACTCGAAGAGACTCAGCTACTAGTCCTTTAAGACCAAGGAAGTTTGGCTGGTGTGGCTCAGTGGTTGAGTGTCAACCCATGCACCAAGAGGTCACCAGTTCGATTCCTGGTCAAGACACATGCCCAGGTTGTGGGTCAAATCCCCAGTGCGGGGGCATGCAGGAGGCAGCCAATTGATGTTCTCTCATTGATGTTTCTATCTCTCTCTCTCAAATCAATACAGGAAAAAAATTAAAAAAAAAAGAAAAAAAAAAAAGAATACCAAGGAAATGTGCCACCTGCCCTGTGACTGCACTGTCCCCACTCCACTTTACACACATAAGCACTTAGATCCTACCTGACGTGGATAACTATGCCAGCATTGTCGGGTGTCCCAAAACCAAGGTGACTAAGAGAAAACAGAAAATCCAGATCAGTCTTCAGGATTCTCCCATGGCTCACCTATATAATCCTATTATGTCTATGGTATAGGGGGAAAAGGGTGATGGGAAAAAATAATCCCTCTGGACAGAATTTAGGGATCCTTAAAGGGTGAATAAATATCTAGATATTTCTTCTAGAACTTAAAAGTGTTATTACAAATAGGAAAATCATGCTTTGAGGTAAATAAGAGCAGGGAGAGCTCTAGGATAGTTTTTGAAAGCATCACCACCTGGGCAATAGGAGCTAGGAAGGCAGGAAGACATAATACCAGTTGATAACCAAGAGAAAGATCTCCATGTCAAAGATTCAAAAGTCAAAAGTAATAACTTCTAATGGAATTTCAATCATGTCCTTTATGGAATTTGTCCATTTCATCTAAGTTATTGAATTTATTATTATTAAACTGTTCATAATGTTATCTTATTATCCTTTCAATGTCTACAGGATCTATAGTGATAATCTCTTTTTCTCCCTGATATTGATAATTTGTTCTCTCTTTTTTCTAGGGTTTTATCAATTTTAATCAAATGTTTCAAAGAACAAATTTTGGCTTTATTAGTTTCCCCCATTGTTTGTCTAATACCTATTTCATTAATTTTTATTTAATTATTTTTTCTTTACTTTGTCCTTCTTTTTCCAGATCTTAAAGTGAAAACTTAGATCACTGATTTTAAAGCCCCCCACAACCTACACATTTAAAGCTGTAAATTTTCCTCTAAGCATGCATTAGCTACATGCCAAAAATTTTCATTCAATTCAAAACATTTAAAATTTTCCCTTCGGAATTCTTGTTTGACCCATGGATTATGTAGCAGAATTATTTAACTTCCATATAGTTTCTGGATATCTCATTATTATTAATGATTGCTAATTTAACTCCATTATGGTAAGAGAACACATTTTGTAAGATTTCAGTATTTTATAATTTACTGAGATTCCTTCCTTCCTTCCTTCCTTCCTTCCTTCCTTCCTTCCTTCCTTCCTTCCTTCCTTCCTCCCTCCCTCCCTCCCTCCCTCCCTCCCTCCTTCCCTCCCTCCTTCCCTCCCTTTTCCTTTCCTCCCTCCCTTCCTTCATGTTCCCTCATTCACAATGTGGACCAGGCAAAGGGCCTGGGCTGGGGTGTATATGAGGTGGGTTTACTCTGCCTCCTCTTTCTGTACAGACAGTGTAAGAACACAGCCTGTGGTAAGCACCAGGAGGCCAAGATTTATTTTATGGCCTATCATATGGTGTATCTTAGAGAGTTAATGTTCCATGTGCACTTGATAATTATATATGTTCTTCAGCCTTTAATATAGTGTTCTTTAAGTGTCAATTAGGTCAAATTGGCTGACTGTGTTGTTTAAAACTATATCCTTAGTGATATTTTTTTGTCTAGTAATTTAGTCAATTACTGATAAAAGCATTAAAATCTTCTATGCCTGTCCTTCAGTTCTGCCTCTTTTTGCTTCATATATTTTAAAGCCTCAGTTATATCACTTACAAAAACAGGGTGTTACTGTGAAAAAAATGACACAGAATCAGAATTTTAAAAGCCTGAAATTCTTTGACTTTGACAATTAACTGGAAATTAGGAGTTATACCTGTTTTACCCACTTTAAAGGGTTACTGATTGCATTTTTATAACTGTCTCCTCCTTGGATGAACACGTTTTTGTGTGTATCATACTGATTTAATCAATACCAAGTATTATTAGCATTATTTAGGGGATAAACAGTAGTTATGAGGTTACTGAAGTCAGGCCCCAGAGAGAAGGCAACCATTTAGCATATAAACTTGGGCTACAGGCATCACAGAGAAAAAAAAGGGGGGAAAATAAAGATCTAAAGGTATTTAACTCATCTCTAGAGATGTGGGCATGATTAGAACCCAAAAGAAGACCAGAGAAAGTTCACACTCACCGACCAAAGAAATCTAATTCCGTAGCAGAATATACATAAATAAAAAGTGAATCTCCACCTGGGTGGGCAAAGAGTAGAGGTTAGATGAATATTCACTGAAAAGAAAGTCTTTGAGGCTAAAGAAGTCAAGATAGCAGATTTGGGATAAGATAGTTACTGGTGAGAAAGAAGGTTAAGTCCCAAGAATAGGGACAAATACTGTTTCTTCAAAAGCCAAAAAGAGACATCTTCCAGCCTCTGTTTAAAATAGTTTTCCACCAGCCCAGCTGGTGTGGCTCAGTAGTTGAGCATCAACCCATGCACCAAGAGGTTGCCGGATCAATTCCCAGTCAGGGCACATGCCCAGGTTGTGGGCCCGATCCCCAGTGGGGTGCTGCAGCCCATCGATGTTCTTTCTCATCGATGTTTCTATCTCTCTCTCCTCCTCCCTTCCTCTCTCTCTAAAATCAATAAAGAAAATAATTTAAAAAGTAAAATAAAATGAAATAAAGTAGTTTTCCACCAATGTATACTGGCTTTAATAAATTTTTCTTCCATATCAGACTCCTTGATGATAGTGTCTAATATTTTCTTTGCACAACAATGATAAATACAGTGCTCCATATCCAGAGGGGAATTCGTAAAATACTGTATGTCCAGAAAAGGGATGCTTCCCACCAAAATGCCCATTTAGAGAAAGCTGGTACTATTGCTATCAAGGTGTACAAGGGTATTAACTCCCAATCTATTTGGGAAAGGGGAACAAAATGGAACTACATCTAGCTTAGTGGCAAGCATGTCCAAGAAACTATGGTGCTCTTCTTTCCTGCCTATAATAAACTGAGTTAGCCCTCCACATTCATAGACTATTGTCCTAAAAACAGAAGTGATTTCCAAAAAGAAAACCTCAGTCCAACAAAAAAGATTTAAAAAAAAACCCCCAAAACCCCTCAGTCCAGTCATACCCCACCCTTCTCCTCACTCCTGATCTCCCTCCGCACACCTACATGCTTTCACAGAATTTAGTGAGCGTTGGGGGCTTGTCCTGATTCCTCCGATGGCGAAACCAGCACTGGATTTTTCGGACGTCCCAGTCCAGTTGCTTTGACAGGCCCTCCAGCCTTTTCTCATCAGGGTACTGCAGATGTAGGACCAGAGTCAGAATATCCCTTTTCCTTTAAACCTCTCATTCAATTCTGACTAGGTGAGTGGCAAAGGGGTGAAAACTACAGTGGCTTAAATGGTGTTTATCTTTCCAGGTTTCATCTCAAAAGTAATTTTTAGTAAGAATTACTATTTCACACATCAAGGACCTTTACCATTCACCTATAGACATCCTTGTTTGGTCTTCTCCCTCCAGCCCAAGCTGTGTAAAAAAGATCTTTAAAACCCACACCGCGCCCTGGCTGGTTTGGCTCAGCGGTTAGAGCATCAGCCCACAACCAAAGAGTCATGGGTTTGATTCAAGTCAAGGGCAGGTACCTCAGATGTGGTTTAGTCCCCGCCATGGTTAGCAACCCCCCCCACCCCCCTACCCCCCCCTACCCCCCCACCCCCGTCCCATCTGAAGATAAATGGAAAAATATCCTTGGGTGAGGATTAAAAAACAAAAACAAAAACAAAAATCCAAACTGCAAAGATTATCAGCCCCCATCTTAATTATGTAACTAGGTAATGACAAAAGCTGGAGCAGGGAAAAACAAAATTAAGATAAAATGTGTCTGGGAGGCAGTGATGATGACTGCTAGGCCTAAAACTCAAATGTATGTAAACTTGACTTAGATTCTGGCCCAAAGGTATTTCCCTGAGGGAATAAAGTTCTCAAAGCTATATGGACTACCCAAATGTGAAAGATTATCTCATCCTATATTTACTCTTGGAGATACTTGTTCTCTATCTTCCCCTGCCCTATGCGGCAACCCCTCATATGAATTTTCTCTTTTTTTTTGCCCACTCACCTTGGTAATAGATATGAACACCTTTTCAAGGATGGCATTGGGCTGCTGGGACGGATAAGGACCACTGTCCTGGATGCCAACATGGAGTGCACAGGGTTTGGCAATAAACCTGTAATGAAGAAAGCCCAAAAGCCAATTCTAAATATGGTTTGTTAAGCATAAAGGAAAGATCCTGATTAGGGGGCTGATGGGAAGGAAACGGGGAAAACACTTGGCTGGGAGCCAGGACTTTTCAATTTCATCCTGGATTCTGCCACTGACTTACTTGTGAAATGGCCTGTTTAAGACATATTGGACCATAAGCTCTTGTTCCATTTTACCCTAGTTTCCCTTATCACATCTAGAATTTTAAAGTAAAAAAGACCTATGTCAGCCCGGCCAGTGTGGCTCAGTAGTTGAGCGTCAACCCATGTACCTAGAGGTCACAGGTTCGATTCTCGGTCAGGGCACATGCCCAGGTTGTGGGCCCAATCCCCAGGGGGGGGGGGCATGCAGAAGGCAGCCAATCGATGTTCTCTCTCATCGATGTTTCTATCTTTCTCCCTCTCCCTCCCCCTCTCTCTAAAATCAATAAAGAAAAAAGAAGACCTATGTTTCTCTCTCTCTCTCTCCTTCTCCCTTCCTCTTTCCTAAAATCAATAAAGAAAACAAAAATGGCCCTGGCCAGTTTTTCTCAGTGGTTAGAGCACTGGCCTGTGGTCCAGAGAGACCTGGGTTCGGTTCCCACTAAGGGCACGTACCTCGTTTGCAGTTTGTCCGCAGCCCTGGTTGGGTGGTGTGGGTGGCAACCACTTGATGTGTCTCTCTCACATTGATGTTTCTCCCTCTCTCCCTCCCACTCTAGCTGAACAAAAAATGGAAAAATGTCCTTGGGTGAGGGTAAAAAAAGAAAAAAAAAATGTTAGAAGAATCTTGTAAGTATTAAATGACAGAATGTATATGAAGAGCCTGGAACAAGGGAGGTACTTAATAAATGGTAGTTATCCTTACTTCAAAAGATCAAGAAGATCTTAATCGGAGGGAAAAGTAAAACTAAGTCTGAGCTCTTCCCAATTACAATATCCTGGGTCATGGTCACCTTCTTGCCTAATAAAAAGAGTATGGAAATACTTAGAAGAAAGAAATATAGGAACTAGGAAAGGTGAGAAAAAAATCACCTATTAGCATTCAATCCCCGTCCCAGATTATACCACTAATAAGTCATAAATTTGGCCAAATCATTTAAATCTTGAGTCTTGGTTTTATGATCTAAAAGAAGGGACTATATGAGGTGATTTCTAAGATTTTTTTTTTATTTTTATATCTAAGATTACATAGTGTCATCACTGATTGTAATAAATTCCTAACTTTTAGATCTTTGAGAATCGAGAAACTAGTCCTTGGTTCTTCAAGAAAGAGCTCTTGCTTCTCCACAACCATAGAATTTTTCTAGAGCATCAATCAGCTCTAGAAAAAGCTCTACACAGTCATTTTGAAAATAAATCAAAATCAGTTTTAGCTCTCTTTGCATCTTATGGAGTCCCATGATAAAATTATGAATGAGAGGCCTAAAAGATGGAGTGCTCTTGACTTATTCTCTTGGTCTGCATTTGAATCCAGATTTTACCTCTAAGGGAGGGACTGAAAATAAGAAACTTTATCTTCTTCTATAAAAACGTTTAGCTTTATCACCTGAGCCATAGGGAAACATTTATCCAGAGCACAAAGTTAGTCACATCTGTAACCCATCCTCTCTCTTTTACACAGGTGGCACAAAAGTTTCATTCAAAAGCCAATGCTAGTAGATACTTTAATTTATATTTCCTGGTATATTATTCTGTGTACAAATATTTTAAAACCCCACTCATGTTTAAACTCACTGTGAACAAAGAATACAGAGAGCATACTGTTTTTGTATTTACCAAGGTTCTGTGCTTAGTAGTTTCTAGTAACTGACAAGTGAGAGGTCCAGTGAATCCCATTCTTATGAGCTCATTTTGGACCCAGCATTGACCAGCATCCAGAAGAGTAATTAAGCCCTGGCCGGTTTGGCTCAGCGGTTAGAGCGTCGGCCTGCGGTCTAGAGAGACCCGGGTTCAGTTCCCGCTAAGGGCACGTACCTTGGTTGCAGTTTGTCCCCTCCCTTTCACGTCGATGTTTCCCTCTCTCTCTCTCTTCCTCTCTCTCCCTTCCACTCTATCTGTACAAAAAATGGAAAAATGTCCTCGGGTGAGGATAAAAAAAGAAAAACAAAACAAACAAACAGAAGAGTAATTAAGGCAGTCATTTTTGCTTTGGAGTTGATGCCATATAAGTGATAAAAGCACTGAATCATGTCTCCTCCATCTCCCCTCATCTACATTAATGGCATGAAGAGGTAGATGCAAAAAACAAAAACCAGCCTTTACAATTCCTACTCTTACCTCTTGATGTAGTTCTCTTCCTCAATTCAGAAGCAGTCAAGTGATTAAAGGCCTTGGAGTTAGGCAGATTGTAACAGCTAAGAGACTTTGTGAAAGTTCATTATAAAGATGAAATGATATGATGCACACCTAGTATACTACCCAGTACTTAGTAAACATTCAATAAAGGGCAGCTATTATTATTTTACTAGAAATCGATAGTTCAGTCTGAGTACCCTGATGGTACCTCTGGCAAAAGGTGAGAAGAGCAAGAAATTCTCTTTTTTTTTTTAAAAAATCCTCACTCAATGATATTTTTCCATTTATTTTCAGACAGAGTGGAAGGGAGAGAGAAAGATCAATGTGAGAGAGACTCATCAATTGGTTGTCTCCTGCATGACCCCAACCAGGGCCGGGGACCCAATCGCAACCAAGGTACGTGCCCTTGACCAGAATTGAACCCATGACTCTTTGGTCTGAGGGCCAACACTCTAACCGCTGAGCCAAACTGGCCAGGGTAAAGAAATCCTCTTTCATACAACATGGACAGGTTTGTACCTTGCTCACATGGGTGAAGCCAAAATAATTTGTTTTATTATCTGGACTTTGGAGTGGACTAGATTATCATTATCTCACATCCTGTCCTCATTAGTTCACAGAGCTCAATGAAAGACATAAAGCTATTGGCATTCAGTTAGTTACAACTGTACAGACCCTAAGGAAATTCATTTATCTGACAAATATTTATTGGGCATCTATTTTGTGGAAAAGAATTTTTCTGTGATTGAAAATTAAATAAACAACCCTGGCCAATTTTGCTCAGTGATTAGAGCATTAGCCCGTGGACCAAAGAGTCTCAGGTTCAATTCCAGTCAAGGGCACATACTTCGGTTGCGGTTTGTCCCCAGCCCTGGTTGGGGTCGTGTGGGAGGCAGCCAGTCAATGTGTCTCTCTCACATTGATGTTTCTTTCCCTCTCTCTCTCTATCTGATGATAAATAAAAAATATCGCCAGGTGAGGATTAAAAAAAAAATTAAATACATAGATTTATTTGTGCATTTAATAAATTACCTTAATGAAGAAAGTAAAATTATTTTATTTATTTATTTATCCTCACCCGAGGACATTTTTCCATTTTTTGTACAGACAGAGTGGGAGGGAGAGAGAGGGAAACATCGATGTGAAAGGGACACATCGAGTGGCTGCCACCCGCACGACCAACCAGGGCCGGGGACAAACTGCAACCAAGGTACATGCCCTTAGCGGGAACCGAACCCAGGTCTCTCCGGACCGCAGGCGGACGCTCTAACCGCTGAGCCAAACCGGCCAGGGCGAAGAAAGTAAAATTATTTTAAATTAGAACTTTGAAGAAGTTCAGATTTAATCATGTACTCATTCTATATCATTTATATGGTATTTAGTATAATTTATAAAATGGGCATATAGGTTAGTCAAACTCCAGACAAAGAGACTGGCATTCAGCCTTTCTTCTAGATTGGTACTTCTCAGCCTGGCCGGTGTGGTTCAGTGGTTGAGCATCAAGCCATGCACCAGGAGGTCACTGGTTTGATTCTCGGTCAGTGCACAGGTCCAGGTTGTGGGCCAAATCCCCAGTGGGGGCCATGCAGGAGCCAGTCAATCGATGTTCTCTCTCATCGATCTTTCTACCTTTCTCTCCCTCTCTCTAAAATCAACAAAGAAAAGAAAAAAAAAATTAGATTGGCACTTCTCAAAGTGTGAGAAGGGGTCTGAGAGACCATTTCAGGAGGTCTGCAAGGTTAAAACTATTCTCATCGTAATTCTGTAACTTCATAATAGCTACTCTCTCTCATTCTTTCATGAGTATACAGTGGAATCTTACAGATTATATGACAAATTGTAATAGATTGAAAAAAGAAGCTGACATGAGAATATAATTGCCAGATATTAAAGAGACTTGCAAAAGTGTAAAATAATGCTATTCTTCTCAGTTTTTTGTTGTTATGGAAAATATTTTCCATAAAGTGTTAGTTATATTACCAATATAATAAATTTGTTGTTACTTGTAAATGAATAATATATTGAAGTATTTTCCATTTTAATTTCTAAAACAGTATATATTAATAGATATTGTTCATATATAACAAAAACGCTCTGGGGTCCTTGATAATTTTTTTTATTTATTTTTTCTTCATTGATTTTTTTCAAGAGAGGAAAGGAGAGGGAGAGATAGAAACATCGATGAGAGAGAACATCAGTTGGCTGCCTCCTGCATGCCCCTCACTGGGAATCGGGCCCACAACCTGAGCATGTGCCCTGACCGGGAATCGAACTGGCGACCTGTTTGTGTATGGGTTGATGCTCAACCACTGAGCTAGACCAGCCGGGCCCTTGATAATTTTTAAGAGTGTAAAGGATTCCTGACAATATAGTTTGCAAACAAACTGCTATGCTGGATGACACTGAGAAATCAAACTTCTTTTGTAATTTTTTTCTTTCTTTTTATTTATTGATTTTAGAGAGGGGAAGGAAGAGGGAAGAAGGGACAGAGAGAGAAACACAGATTTGTTGTTCCCGTTATTTATGCATTCACTAGATCCAGCCAGTGCTTCTTGTGATTTTCTGTCCTCTCCAGAATCAATTTGTTACCCAATTTTTTGAATACTTTGTAATACTAGATGTCCCTTTGTCTTCAAGTCTGAATAAGTAGGCATTTAGTAGTCTATAAAGGTAAGGTACTCCTTTCTACCTGCCATTCCAGGAACATGAGTCTAATGACCCAACCAGATTGTAATATATCTGTCCAGCTTTGTAGAGATCATTTCAATTTGCCCTTTCCCTGACCTCGCGATACATGGCAGCAGCTGACCTAAGCTGAAATTAATTAAGATGAAATTACTTACTGCTTTGCTTTTTCATAATAAAGACAGGAGCTATACTAACACTGCTGTCTTAGTGATTCATTGCAACATCACTGATGGATATGAACTATACACAAATATATTAGAATGTCTAGATCAAGCTTCTCAACTGCTGTACCATGGCAAGTAACATAGACGGGCTATACTAATACTCTTAGTACTCAGGGTGGTCCATGGGACCTGTGGTAGCCAGAAATCCTCAGCCTGTAGCCTTGGCCTCATTTATCCCAGTGTAATGCACATTTTATTTTATATATGTGCAGAAACATGGTTGAGTTAGAAAGTGCAGTGGCTTAGATCAATTTCTGGAAAAATATAAAGTATCAAAATTAATATATAAAAATAAAAATAACCACCGAAGAAACTGAAATAGGGAATGGAATAAAGGGAAAAATACAATAAAAATAGAAAGGACTTTTTTTTTATCCTCACCCAAGACATTTTTCCATATTTTGTTCAGATAGAGTGGGAGGGAGGGAGGGGGAGAGAGAGAGAGAGAGAGAGAGAGAGAGAGAGAGAGACACATCAATGTGAAAGGGACACATCGAGTGGTTGCCACCGGCACGACCCAACCAGGGCCGGGGACAAAATGCAACCGAGATACGTGCCCTTAGTAGGAACCAAACTGGTGTCTCTCTGGACCGCAGGCCAACGCTCTAACCGCTGAGCCAAACCGGCCAGGGCAAGAAAGGTCTTATACAGACTGAAGATGGTGTATCATTAGGTGAAGAATACTAAGTAACTAAATTACCTGAACCTGAATGCTCCCCACTACACACACACACACACACACACACACACACACACACACGAGAGAGAGAGAGAGAGAGAGAGAGAGAGAGAGAGAGAGAGAGAGAGAGAGGAGATAACTGAGATGATGAGTAAAGGTTCTTGGGGCCAAATGAAGCCTGTTTAGAGAATTTAATCCTTAAGTACATAAGCTGTATTTGAAAATTCTCCCCTGAAACATATTGCACCCCCAAAAGGCAAATGAATAGTCCCACAGAAAACAGATTCAAGCCCTGGCTGGTTTGGCTCTGCGGTTAGAGCATCGGCCTGCAGTCTAGAGAGACCCAGGTTCAGTCCCCGCTAAGGGCATGTACTTCAGTTGCGGTTTGTCCCTGGCCCTGGTTGGGTCATGTGGGTGGCAGCCACTCAATGTGTCCCTTTCATGTCAATGTCTCTCTCTCTCTCTTCCTCTCTCTCCCTTCCGCTCTATCTGAATAAAAAATGGAAAACTGTCCTCAGGTGAGGATAAAAAAAAAAAGAAAACAGATTCAAAAAGTCCTTTCCCTTTACGGCTTGAACTTTATTCTCTAGTTTGATTGTCATTGAAAGGCTTTAGATGGGGAGCAGAGAAGAAATACATGGATCTGTATATTAATAAAGAACTGTCACCCTGGCCAGTTTGTCTCAGCGGTTAGAGCGTCGATCCACGGACCAATGAGTCGCAGGTTCGATTCTGGTCAAGGACATGTACCTCAGTTGCAGTTCATCCCCAGCCCTGGTCAGGGTCATGCGAGAGGTAACTAATAGGTGTGTCTCTCTCACATCGATGTTTCTTTCTTTCTTTCCCCTTCCCTCCCTTCCAATCTATCTGAAGACAAAAAACAACAACAACAAAACAAAACCTTTGTGCAGTGGCAGTATTGTAGCTAGTGAGGTTTATCCAAGGTGTGATTATTGCTAAAAAAAAAAAAAAAAAAGAACTGTCATCAGCTAAAGGTTATTGTAAAAAAATCCATGCTATATGTGATAAAGCCTTGAACTAAGGCTATAGAAATAGAAAGGATTCAAGATATGCTGAGGAGGTAAAACTGATAGGACTTGGTGACTGAATAGATAGATGTAAGAGGCAAAAGAAAAAGAAGAGTCAAGTGTGTCTTCCACATTTCTGGCTTGGGAAACTAAGCTGATTATAGTGCCTCAACCAAGTAGAGAATAAGATAAAAGCAAATTTGGGAGTGATAGATGAATTGTATGTGTGCTGAAGTGGGTCAATGCAATGGAACTGTCTAGTAGGCAAATAAACTTGGAAAAGTTTACATACTCATGGGATGGATGTGACTACATAAGAAAGGAAAATAAACTGAAAAGAGAACCAAGGCCCGAATCCTGGGAAACAACCAGCATAAAAGGTAAATTGAGGGGACAGGAAGGCCAGAGATGGAGTCCTATCAAATGAGGTAGAAATCCAGTATCCACTGGATTTGGTCACTTGAAGATCTTTAGTAACCTTTATCAAATAAATTCCTGTAAATAAAATGGAGGATCTAAAAGATAATAATGAGTTATAGCAGTAAAAGACATGAGGAGGAGGAAGAAAGAAGTAAAAATAGCCAAGACTCTCAAAGAATCTGGGCTAGGAAGAGAAGGGAATGCCTTCAACTTCCTGCATCAGAACCACTCTGCCTAAAACTAACATCCCTGTGCTTCAGATACATTCTTTTACTGATCAGAAATTTCATTCTATTTATTCCTTTTCTTTTCTATTATCTTCAGCCTCACTCTCTACCTGTTTCTTCTCATCAGACCTTAAATATGCTGAAGTTTTCCCCATCTTAAAAAGGCTCTCCCTGTCTCTCTCCTACCTCATAACTGAAGTTCTTGAAAAAGTTCTCACCTGTCTTCTAACTCCCACTCATTCTTCAACTCTCCTCCCTCTCTCATCTGGTTTCTGTCCCTAAACACCACTAAAGCTGCTCTTCCCAAGGTTGTCAATGATCTTCTTATTGTGAAATCAAATAGATGTTTTTCAGTCTTGTATCTTACCTGACCAACTCAGTACCATTTTATATTATTGACCATGCCCTCCTTCTTGAAATGCTCTTTTCTTAGCTTTCTTACGGCCATACTCTTCCCAGTTTTCTCCTCTCTCTGACAGTAAAACTAGACTGATTGGTATGGAGTATTAGTTGAGTCGCCTTGAAACAAGGTACTTTCTCTGTGTTTCAGGTTTTTCATCCATCTGTAAAATGAGGATAACAGCAGTATCTACCTACCTCAGAAAGTTACTATGTTTAGCACTGAGAACAGGGCCTGGGACAAAATTAGGTACTTTTAAAATACTAACTATAATCAAATTCTATATGGCTGTCATACCTCTTTATCTCCTTTTGGGCTTCTTTTTCCTTTGCCTTTTCCTAAAACAAGGTGTTTCCTTGGGGTTCTATGCAGGTTCTTTTCTTACTCTACGTACTCACCCTAGGTGATCTCACTCAATTACAGCAGAGGATGGTCCACAGACCCCTGAGGGTCCCTGAGATATTCTCTGGGGGCTCATAAAGTCAAAACTATTTTCATAATAATGTTCAGACATTATTTTCACCCAGCTGGTGTGGCTCAGTGGATTGAGAGTTGTTCCATGGACTGAGAGGTCTCGGTTGGATTCCTGTCAGGGCACGTGCCCAGGTTGCAGGATCAATCCCCCGTAGGGGGCATGCAGGAGGCAGCTGATTTATATTTCTCACATCGATGTTTCTAATTCTCTCCCTTCCTGTCTAAAATAAATGAATGAATGAATGAATGAAATTGCCTTTGTTACTGTCTCGATATATGCAATGATGGTACAAAGCAATGGTGGGTAAAACTAATGGTACTTGAGCACAAATCAAGGCATTGACACCAACCTGTAGTAGTAGTTATTATATATCATTCTTTGCTGTGTCCTCTTAGCTTAAAAAAAAATCTTGCCCTGGCCAGTTTTGCTCAGCGGTTAGAGCATCGGCCTGCGGACCAGAGAGTCCTGAGTTCAGTTCCCTCTAAGGGCAGGTACCTTGGTTGTGATTCGTGCCCGGCCTCAGTTGGAGTCGAGTGGGTGGCAACCAGTCAATGTGTCTCTCTTACACCAATGTTTCTCTGTTTCTCTTCCTCCCGCTCTATCTGAAGATAAATGCAAAAATGTCCTTGGGTGAGGATTAAAAAATAAATAGCTAGTTTCACTTAACAATGTCCTTGATGAAACAATACAAATAATTAATTTTATTAATCTCAACCACTGAGTACATTGTTAAAAAGCATTCTGTAATAAAATTGGAAAGTATACAGAAAGCACTTTTGCTGCACACCAAAGTACATATATGGTTGTCTCAAGAAAATGCACTTGGTTGAATGAATTGTGTGCTGAACTAAATCACTTTTTTCATTGAACACCAATTTTACCAGACAGAATGACCAATAGTTAAACTAAGGTTATTCAGATCTAGGTATTTAGAAAACATTTTCTTGAAAACGAATTAAATAAGACTGTCACTTAAAAAATAATTATTATTGTTGCCAATGATAAAATTCAAGCTTTCAAGTGAAAATTTTTAGAGAACTTATATCCACCTTTGAACTTGACGATACTTCAAGACTTTTCTGATGATATTGGTTACAATGAGATTAACTAATATGATTTTAAAATACTGTATAATGAATGACATTTGGGAGACCTATATAACTCAGTGAACCAGTATTTTTCAAATGACCAATATATAATATTTATTCAAAGTATAAGATAGACCAATGAATTTTAACATAAATAAAATGCTCATTGATATGGTTTCAGAATCTACAATACAACCAACCTTTTAGAAACCACTACTTGTGTTTTGGTGTAGTATGAAAGAAAAATAAAACTTCCTTTTCCCAATGAAACATCTGTGTGAAACTGGCTTTTATTTATGTAATTCAACCAAAACAACATATCAAAAGAGACTGAATGCAGAAGCCATTGAGGAGAATCCAGTTATCTTTTATTAAGCCAGACATTAAAGAGATCTGCAAAAATGTAAAATCAACGCTGTTGTTCTCACTAAATATATTTTCTTTAGAAAAATAATTATCTTTCAAAAATGTTATTTATGTTAACATGTAATAAATTTATTATTGTTATTTTTAATGAAATAGTAAATGCACTTCATTTTCTCAATTTTAATTTCAAATGTGAAAAAATTGATACGTATATGTAAGCCACACATAAACAAAAGCTCCTTTGGGATCCTCAAGAATTTATAAGAATGAAAAAGAATGCTGAGAACAAAAAGAATATGATTTCTAAATTATACTAACATTATTCACTTATGTGCCAGTGATTCCCAGCTATTCATTATCTTGTATATTCCACACACATATGGATCTATGTCAATGTATTTTTTTCTGAGTAAATTCTTTTCATTTTACTTATTTTTACCTTCACCTGAGGACATTTTTGCATTTATCTTCAGATACAGCAGAAGGAAGAGAGAGAGAGAGACATTGATGTGAGAGAGACACATCGACTGGTTGCCACCCACACGACCCCATGGGGGCCGGGGACAAACTGCAACCGAGGTACCTGCCCTTAGCAGACACCAAACTCTGGACTCTCTGGTCCGCGGCTGATGCTCTCACCGCTGAGCCAAATCGGCCAGGGCCTGAATAAATTCTTAAAAGGATAGGATTTTTGCTATATACTAGCAAACGTGTTGTTCACATTATTGTACACATATGTGCTTCCTGTGTACAAGGTGCTGCACTTGTCAAAGACACCTATACCACCAAACCCAGTATTTCTTGCACTGTCTGTATTTAATTTTTTAAATTTTCTTTTGAGGACTATTTTTTATTTTATTTTTATTTTTTTAATCCTCACCTGAGGACATTTTTGCATTTATCGTCAGAGTGGGAAGAAGAGAGAGAAAAACATTGATGTGAGAGACACAGAGTGGTTGCCACCCACATGACCCCACCAGGGCCAGGGACAAACCGCAACCAAGGTATGTGCTCTTAGCCGGAACCGAACCTGGGACTCTCTGGTCCACGGGTTGATGCTCTAACCACTGAGCCAAACCGGCCAGGGTGAGGAATATTTTTTTAATTGGGAAATGCGTTCTTAAAACAAAGCAGAGCCCTGGCCGGTTTGGCTCAGCATTTACAGCATCAGCCTGCAGTCCAGAGAGACCTGGGTTCAGTTCCCGCTAAGGGCACATACCTCAGTTGCAGTTTGTCCCCGGCCCTGGTTGGGTTGTGCAGGTGGTAACCACACGATGTGTCCCTTTCACATCGATGTTTCTCTTTCTCTCTCTCCCTCCCACTCTTATCTGAACAAAAAAATGGAAAAATGTCCTTGGGTGAAGATTAAAAAAACAAAAAAACAAAAAAAGCAGAAACTGACTAAAAAGAAAGGGATCTTGCCCTGGCCAGTTTGGCTCAGCGGTTGGAACACTGGCCTGCGGACCAGAGAGTCCTGGGTTTGGTTCCCACTAGGGGCACATACCAAAAAAAAAGAGAAAGAGATCTCTATTACATAACTATCCTAAACCTTGACAAGGCACACACATACTGTGGATTTATAACAGACTATCCTTCACTCCTTATCTACTTGCAGCAAAATTACCTTCACTTAGACCTGTAACAGGGCCTTACAGAATTAAGATGACTAACTAATACCTGTGCCACTTAATGTGCCTACTGGTACTGTGATGAGAAAGATCAGTATCCTGCTTGCATCTTACTTTATTATAAGGGAACTAAGTCTTGAGATAAGAATTACTTAGAGTATGTTAAGTATGTTCAAATGCTTCAGAGAGACACAAACTAATTTAAGAGTACAGTAACTTGTAGTTTTACTTCACAGTAGCTAGTAAATATTTCACTTGCTTTAGAGCAGCAGTTCTCAAAGTGTGGTTGAAAAACAGCTGGGAATCCTTGAGACTCTCATTGTTTAAGAATTCCTCCTTTTCTCAACCACATACATGCATTTCTTTCATTAAAAATATTTATCCTTTCTGGCCGGTGTGGCTCAGTGGTTCAGT